TTGGCTAAGAATTCATAAAGAAGTTTAGAGTTGTAGGGAAAAGCTAGTATAAGGAGAAATTGAAGTTTAGTGGAGGCGAAGAGGTTCATCATCTTGAAGTTAAGGGAGGGTTAGTTTAAGAGGAGTGATTTTTGCCTCTTTGTACTTAAGGTAGGAGTCTCCATCTCTTATGGAGAGGAAAGGATCGTCAAAATAATGAGAGGAGGAGGAGCTCTCCTGAGTTACTCTTCTATATTTACTTCGACTGACCATTAGAAAGGAAGGTTTAGAGGGTATGAGTTTGAGGAAGTAGTAAGTTGAGTGAATTAAACTATTCAAAGCCTTCAAATTTATAGATTTTAGACTGATTGTACAATACGATCAAGATTCATATAGTACGATCATAAAGGTTAATTCATCTGGACGACTTTTCAGAAAAAGTGGTCAAATCATACAGTAAGATCATGTATTATACTAGACGATCATAAGGAATTATGTTCATCCTAACGGGTCATTGATATGGCGTTTGATAAAAAGTATCATATTGTATGAATAGGTGTTCGTATGGTATGAAATGTAATTATTATTCTACCAGTTGAATTAAATTCATCGCAATCCAGTTTAATATATGTATTGCACAGTACGAAGAAAGGTATCATACCATACGAATAGCAATAATTTCTTACCAAACAAATTGAATTACTCAATAGTTTGTGACTTATGGATCATACAGTACGAGTAAAGGTTTATATAGTACTATGCTCATATCATTATTCTAATCTAGGCGGTTGCTTAAACTAAGGATTAGGATATGTACATCTGTGCATATTATACAGTATGAACGTGTATCGTACAACATGATAATAATAGAATTTTGAAAAATTATATGATTCAATGAGGTGTGTGTGTGTGTGTGTGATGATAAGAAAACATCTTAAAACAAAATTTTTTTAACACAAATAACAAGCAATAACACATAAACATGAACAATAAAAAATACATAAAAAGTAACACATGTGAATGAATGATTTAAATTTTTTTTTATTTACCTTGAATTAAGAATGAATGTCTATAACACCTAGTTTTATTATCAAGATATAATGAGATTCTTATTAAGCTTGACTAAACTACAAACTAATAATGAAGTCGAATACGAAGCTCTAATAGCAGGACAGAAGATTGCAATCGATGTCAGAATCTAAAATCTTAATTTATTCAGTAATTCTCAACTTGTTATAAATCAAGTACTATAAGTTTACAAAAATATAAAGTTCGAGTTGGTTTATTATCATCGGTGAATACATGAGCTTTTGAAGCTATTTCTAATCATCAAATTTGCTCAAGTTCCCCGAGCCAAAAATAGTTAATTCATTTGTTTGGACAAATTAACCAAAAAATGGTAAATATAGATGACGAGTGGCCTATACTAATTGTAGTCTACACTCATAGGGTCCTACAACCAGCACTATTACAACTCTCACAAGAAGAGGAAATACCAAGCTCAAGTGAGCAGGATACAACTCCGGTTGATCCTCAACCTCCTCAACCAGTAGATCTTAAAGATTAACTTAAAGAACACCAAATTCTTAAGTGAAGACGCAAGTCTAGCCAAGTTTTAGAATCATGATGGAATTATTTAGAAGTCGAAAAAGAAGATGAATGGAGGCAATCATTCATTGACCATTTTAAAGAAAGTAAACTATCGATATACAAGTCATTAATCATTTAAATTAGAAAGAGAGCATTGTGATACATGTTTGCCAACAGTATGTTGCATCAACGAGCTTTAAATAAATAATGGCCAAGGTGCCTAGGGACCAAAGAAGCTAATATGATAGTGGTAGAAGTTCATAAAGGACTTTGTGGAGCACACCAATTAAGTCCCAATATAATAGTTAAAATCAAGAGAATGAGGTACTATTATCCAAGAATGGCAAAAGACTGTATCGATCACGCTAAGAGGTGCCACGAGTGGCAGATTCATGATGATTTTATACATCAACAACCCAATTCACTACACCCTACAATAGCATCCTGGCCATTCTAATATTGGGGAACTGATGTAATATTGCTGATAGATCCGTCATCATCAGTAGGACATCAAATTATTTTGACAGCAACTGACTAATTCTCTAAGTGGACAGAAGCGACCCCATTCAAGAAAGTCACATATGATCATGCAATAATTTATTTTCCCATAATATTATGTATAGATTTGGTATAATATGCCGCATAATCTTGTATAATGGCACAGCCTTTAAAAGTACTAAAATCTTTAAGTTCGTCGGCCGGCATAAAATTGAATTGTGATATTCGTCAATATACAATCCTAGAGTAAATGGCTTGGTGGAAGCCTTGAAGAAGACACTGGTGAAATTGCTATAGTAGTTATAGTCCACAAAATCTATAAGAAAGGCCATAGTAACGGAACCCTCATTTCTCAACCCTTCGATAGGGATTACAAGAAGTATAAAAGCATATTTGACTCGACAAGTTTCAGTAGTTCTAATCCATGAAATCCTTCTAATTGATCGAAGAGTCAAAGCTATATTGGGATGGCATTTTATTTTAAGTCATAAACAGTTCACCAATATGTGAAAAGATTGATGTTTTATGTTGGGAAATAATACTAATGGTTCAAAGCCTTCTAATTCTAGATGAATGTCATAATCAAAGAAATAACAACACTACTATTATGCATTCACTTTTAAGAATTAAGATACCTGAGAAGATAGCACTTTTAGGAACACTAATTTAAAATCATGTAAAGGAATTCTCCAATGTTCTCAAATTAGCACAACCTAATTAAATTCATGGGGGAGTCCTATAATATCATGAAGTGCAACCTTAGTAGTGTAGAGATATTTGCTAGTAGGCGGTCAATTAAGTGTTGCATGCTCATGACAAATTGGAAACAAAGCAGTATAACAATGCACTAATCGAGTGTATGTTTTCATCAACTTGTGATACATCATCAATCACAAAACAACCTCATGTCGTTTAGATATCTTTAACCAATCAAAATAAGGGTCAATTGATTCATAAATTCAATCTCCTAATGAATGAGAAAAGGGAGTCTACATCAGAACAATGAGGTATCTCGTGGCAGTCAGGTGACAACACTGCGATTCACCTGTGAGCAAAAACAGAGAATTGATAGTAAGAACCAATGGCTACTAAAGCGCGACACCATGCCACCGGATCTACAACCCTCATACGAGCAAATTCAAGTCGTAAACAAAGTCAAAAATAAAGCCCTGCACATTCAGCAACAATAGTCACCTATGCAGACGGACACTCCTTTGCATTACATGCAAACATCTTAAAATGTCCTCACATACATGCATTGCAATAGACATGATAGGTTATATAAGCATATCATCCTACATTAACTTAAAGATGCATCATATGTTTATATCTAACAACCTCTACACATGCATTTCAAGAATATTTCCCGCATGCATCTGTAATAAATAGAGTATTATTCTAGTATGTCATTTGACACTGTAATTGTACTTCAAAATCATCCTCCTGCATAAGTAGAGGGTTTTACTCTAGTGTGTCATTCGACACTATAATTATATTTCAAAAATCATATCATACAAACACATGAATGCATCGTATGAAATACATCCAATGGCATACACCCACGTAAGACATGGCGAACATGTTGTAGGTACACACGTAATGCCATAGAATGCCGCGTGGGTTAAGAAATAAATTTAGATTTGAAATTGATCTTCTATCAGTAAGTAGATAGAGTTAACAATATCCAATCAACAAAATGGAACAACCCATGAATTCCCCGATATTGATCGTTTTGATATAAACTCAACCATAGGTGATTATTTCTCTTCAAATACCATCAAACTTTCTTAAAATATAATTATTTTCAAATGATTTCAAAGACACCTCTATGATGGCCAAAAACCACCAAACATTCATAAAATCTAAAATCCAAAAAATAAGATATTTAAAATTAAAATTAAATCATCAAAAACTTAAAAGTAAATACCCATCCACCCTTTGCAAAGGTTTGCCAAGGTAGACAAATTTGAAAAATTACTCCGTGTCACAAAGAGTTAATGTCTAATCGAGAATATCACTAGGACTGATTTTCAATGTCTTTTGCTAGTAAGGACGTGACACGTGTCCTATAACCGATGGTTTCACTATCAAATGGCACCACACCTAGAATTTTGCTGCTAAATATCATCGCTGGTAAATGATTATGACCCTCTAAACAGGGTGGTTCGCCTCGAAATGATACGATTATATTACACTCATTGTCAACGCCCATATGCTCCCAATTGAGATAAATCATTGAGATATGAACTAATAGAATATAATTGATAAGACACACAACTCTCTGTCAGGTAAGGTGGAATCAAATTTGTTCCCTTATATAAACATCTACCCCATATCTACAAAATACCCTTGAACGAAGCAACTCATGATTGTTGATAAGAATCCTCTTGCTATGTTGGGTTAACTACCTCCTCTAACTAAGTAGACCAAGGAACACGATGGCACAAGACGACATAACCATGGAATCTTGATTGAGCTCATCATCACTCACCCCCACCATCCGCTTTAAGTGCAATATAGTGAAATTTCAACTTTTTAAATATCAAACTTTCAAACTCCCAAACCCATGATACTATTATGTCTTATACCACATATCTATGGATATGATGTATTCACTCGACGACTAACATTAATAGAAAGTTCTCTCTTATGATTGGTAGGGGTAATTAACTATAAGGGCTTGCGCCTATAGGAAACCAAAACTCATATTGTAAAGTCCTTGCAAAATGAGGATGAAATCTTTGGGTAGTATCTTATTTTCAATCCCAGTCTATCTTCCTAAAATTTCCCTTGCTCTCTAGTCTTATCAACAAGAAGAATATCATCAGCAAAAAGCATACACCAAGGTACATCATCTTGCAAATGTCTAGTGAGAACATCCATGACTAAAACTCCCCCCAAAAGCCAAAAAAAAAAAAGAAGAGAAAATAATAGGACAGGGAGGCCGGGGCGTAAATTTTTTGAGCTCACAACAGTATGATTACAACACTTTGGCGTGAAATGAGAATAACATTGGGAAGACAACTCATTACATGAAAGAAAATTCTACAAAATTCCCAAGTGGTGGAGAAAATCAAGATTTCTACATAGCTATTGCATAACTATATTTTTTATTTCTTGACATATGTGCCAGATTTGAATCAAGAGATGTTCAAGCATTTGCATAATTTATCCATTAATCTAATGGACTTTAGCCTGCTCCTCTTCTCTCGCTGTATGCCAGACTATATCTTTGAGGCCTACTGAAATGTTATTGTAGAACTGGAAAGAAAGAAATCAAGAGTAATATATAAGACACAAAAATTAATTATTTACTGAAATGAATTCAATTGCATCATGATGCAAATCAATTGATTCCAAACCTTGTGAAATTCGAGAGTGTCACCATTTGCCTTGCGGAGCTCCACCATGTTCAAAGATGGTGCAACTTCAAAAACCTTTAAAATCATGAAAGAAGACTTTAGTATCCCTGAAATTCGCATTTACATCTTCCTGTAAGTAGAAAGATATACCTCTGTTGCAATGGCTAAAGGACCTTTTCTTCCACATTTTTCACCTTGCAACTTCAACTGAAGTGATAACAAAAACGAAATCATGATAAAATTTTGAGAATGAATTCGCATAGATGAGAGAAATTGGAGCAGGATTACAGCATAACTTGGTACATATTCAATAAGGAAAGCAATAGTCTTGTAAGCATTAAAAAAAAAATTCCTACAAAGATTTCAACTTGTAGTTTTTTCTGCCATGATAATAATTGTGAATATTTAATAATTTAGTTATATGTTCCTTTAGATTTAGATGTATTGTGTAATATTTTAGTTGTATTGAGGAATAATATGTGAAGTGTGAAAAAAAAAAAAATTAAAAATATTTTCCTTATCTTTATTTGATGGCAAAACGTAGAACTTTCATTAATTGTGAGGTTTCAAAATCAAAATAACCAAAAGAACAGCTTGCACCATACCTTATATTTTCGCTTCTCAATGTTAAATCCCAATGGTTTGGCTGCTTCCTCAATTTTTGAAAGTATTTCTGCCGCAGGTGCTTTTGATGCAAATCTTGTCTCCTTTTTAACAAATCCCTGATAAAGATAATGGAATTACTAAAATAAAATTTCCATAAAATTTGAATTTTATGTGGGGTAATGCTGTAGTTCCCGAGTATAACAACATCTAAATAAATGCTACATGCGCTACTTATCATACCTTTCAAATTAGCTATATATTAATACCTCTAATTCATTGTATAGCCCTTCAAATTCCTCTACGTCCATATATTCGAAATAAACCCTCATTTATAAATAAATTATTTTACCAAAACAATAACTTTCCCTAATAATAAGATATATTGTCCAAAGAATAAAAGCTTACTCAATAAAAAAAAAAGTATTACACTATACTTCATGCTGTTGGAGCACCATATTTGCATGCAAAATCTCTTCAAGGGAATTACATATTATTTTTGAGTGAAAACATTTTTTTTCTTGTTGTGGGGATTCAGACTTAAGTAGCGGTGCCCTAAACAGACCGAGGATTCAAAACTTGTCAAAGTTAGCAAAGTGGTCTTGGATTCAGCTTTAGTAAAAAAATACTAATTCAGTAAAACTTAGCTCCTAAAAACTAATATGATAGACATACTCAAATTTTCAATATTTCTTCAACGCATTGAAGAAAAATTTTAAGTATTGCAATTTCGTGTAGTGTAAAGATAAGATGGAAGAACAAAAACTAAAGATATGCCATTTGAAGAAATGCAAAACACCAAAAGCAAGTTAAGGAAAATTCGGCAAATTCAAGAAATAAACTTGCCATCTGCTTCTCAAACAAGGTGCCAAGATTCAAACCCTGGGATGTAGAAATAAGCTCAAATGCATTCATCAGAGCAGGTCTTTCTTCCCTATGCTCAACAACAAGATTTTGTGGCTCCTGCACATTGAAGAAAAATGGATCAGAAGTACAACCTAACATATGTCAAAAATCTAGAAGAAGAAAATAAGATTGCTCTAACCCCTGATTCATTGAAAATGGCATTCACATCATCGAGGCTAATATCTGCCGTTTCAAAACTTGGGGCTTGATATCCTTTCTTAAACCATTCATTTTCTATGACTTCTGCAATTGTTATTCTCTGTAAAATAACAAAATAGAGGCAAATAAATATCTTCTACTTCAAATTTTTGTTTAACACGAAATCATGGCCAATGATAATTCTAAGAAGACCTACAGTTTGAGGATTGGGATCCAAAATTCTTTTGATAAGTTTCTTTGCACTGGTGGAGAACCAAGAAGGACAACTGAAATCCGCTTTGAAGATCTGCAAAAAATGCTTGAAGTTAGAGATGTTTACACTTTCAATCCATCTACTGGAAAACTAATAAGATTATAACAAAAGCTACACAACATTCAAAAGTTGAAACATCGCTTTTATGAACAAAAAAAAAAGAAAAACCTTTTTGTATAGGGACATAAGGTTGGAATCTTCAAAAGGTAAATAACCCGCCATGAGGACAAAAAGAATCACACCACACGACCAAAGATCTGCCTTGGCTCCATCATAACCCTTGTTGTTAATCACCTAAAATTTCAAAAAACCAATATTGGGTATGGGTAGAACAAAACCAAATGATTCAACACCAAAAAGGATAAAATCTAGAGCAGAAGATACCTCTGGAGCGACATAGTTTGGTGTTCCGCATGTTGTGTGCAACAGGCCATCATCCTAATGGCAAAAAAGAAGATAACAGTATCTCAGGCAACATAAGCTTACAAAAGCCCAATATATCATTTGAAATAAAAATCAAGGCTATCAATATCGTGTTATGAACAAAAAGGCTCATTCTTATATTCTACAAAACTAGATCAGCTTACTCGAACTTGCTGAGGTAGGGCACTTAGTCCAAAGTCTGAGACTTTGAGGACCCCATTAGAATCCAACAACAGATTCTCTGGCTGCCACAGTAAACAGGTTTACATAAATATTTATTTTATTTAAAATTTGATAATTACATTAATGGACATAGATGATAGATAAGCTAAATTTGTTAAACATTAAAATAATTAGGTCACCTTCAGGTCTCTATGATAGACACCCCTGCTATGACAATAATCCACAGCATTGATTAGCTGTTGAAAATACTTCCTTGCTTCATCCTCCTTCATCCTTCCCCAGGTTGCCTAGTGGAGTTCAGAAAAACCAGATAATAAGATGTGTTAGAATGGTACATTTAAAGCCTTCATTAATATAGTGAAACTTAATAAAAATTGAATCATCAAATGTAAGGTGACATCATACAATTTTATCAAAAAGTTCACCACCCGTCACAAACTCCAATACAATATATATCTTTGTCTTGCTTGCCATCACCTATACATGACATTACTTCAGAAATTAGTATAAGAGAAAAAGATTCATATCAGTCAGACAACCTAGTTTGTGTTTTTGAAGCTCTGAGAGCAACAAGCCAGTGGTCACAAAAAACAGAAAAAAAAAACAAAGAATTAATAGCAGGTTCATACACTAAGACTATCAGAATTGAAATCTTTTAAAACAAGAAAAATGAATGGATCGTCTCTCTCTCTTACAAGACCAGCTAACTCTGCATAACTTTAAAAATGGGCCAGAAAGCATAAGGAAACAAAGCATAAATGAAAATTCATGTGGTACCTCAAACATGCGTATAACATTTGGGTGCTTAATCAGCTTCATTGTTGAAATCTCGCGTTTGATCTACAAGTTATAAACATAATAGGAGATCAGACCATAGATTAACCATAAAAAACCAAATGATTTCATACATGCACACCAGATAGTTTAAGAGTACGTTCAGCATAGAAACAAAAAGCAGTCTCCAAAAGAAAGAATCAGATGTATTTTATATTATGTTCTAACTAGACTCATATGCATGGAGTTAAATTTCTTGAGAAGAGTGCACATGAAAATTTCAGTAAGTGATAAATTATATTATATTTGTTGGTTGGTGATGAGTAAGTATCTACACAAATAATTGAATTCTTCAGTGATAAAGAAACTTCACAAAGGAAAAAATTTGGTGAGGATATCATGATTAAATTTTGAAATAAGTATAATATAAACATTCATTGATTTCTCATATATTGCGCCTATCTTAAAATAAACTTAATGGGTATAAATCCCATCATGACTAAATTTTGATTAAAATATGCTGACCCAAAAATTTTCCCCCACAAGTGGCACTTGTCATAAAACATCAAGTACAAATATGAATTTCAAAGAGCCAATGATCAACATCCCCATCGTTTAAAAGGAGAGGCCAATATTACAATATACAAATCAGAGTCATTGAATACCTAACTTCAATATGTCACATAAATCAACAGGCTCCATATAAACAAAAGAAAACAGTTAGATACCAAGAGAATCCTTCCAACAACATAAACTTCTAAGAGCAGAAAAATGAAAGTTCTGTTTGGTCTGAAGGAATTACACAAAAGAAATGACATGAAAATGATAGAAAATTGAATTGAAACTTATTTTCTTAGGTTATTTGATTGAGAAATTTGGCGATAAACATTCTTTGTTTGGTTGACGAAAAATTAAACTTTTGTTTCATGTGCTGGAACACGTCGCAGCATTAGTGTGACATTTTTTTTTCCCGACTTTCACTTGGTGGGCTAGGAAATTATAAGTGAAAGACAAAAATGCATTTGTTCACATCTAAGGCAAATCTAATTGCCTAGAAATTACAAAAAAACTTAACAACTAATATAAAGTTATAAAGTAAAATGAATATGCTTTCCATCTGCACGACAAGTATTTAATAGATTCCATAAATCATTCATCTTTATCAACTAAAATCCATCATTAATCAAGAAATAGAGGCAAGGGTTTTCAAAAGCAGAGATATTTAAAATTTAAACAACTATAAAGACCTGGCCGATCATTTTGTGCCGTAGGACATTTTCCTTATCAAGAATCTTTATAGCCACATTCTCACCCGTCTCCACGTTCTTCGCGAACTTGACCTTTGCGAAAGACCCCTCCCCCAACATTCTCCCCAATTCGTACCTCCCCACCTTAATTTTCCCGCTCGAGTTCATCCTCCCCACTCTGCTAGCACTTCCTTCCACCAAATTCAGCTGAAACCCTAATAAACACCAAGCAATCACCACCTCCTATTGTTTCAGAGCAAACACACTCGCCTCTGTCAACACATTAATTTCTCTTTCCCACTGGAAACGCTAGAGCAGATCTAAAGAGGATCAAAAATAACGCTCTCAATTGCAAAGTAGGAAAGCCAAGCCCGGAATGGCGACGGCGGCAAGAGAAGAGTTCCGCTGCTGGTTCTCGAAGCCATCGTAAACCCTAAAGAATAAGATCAGGCTATGTTCTCTCTTTCTTTCTATAGCTCTGCGCCCGGGAAATCCGTTTACAGGAGATTTTAAAGACTGGAAGGAAACCGCACGCGGCGCCTAGACACGCTTTACAGCGGCTATCTCGAGTGGCAGAACCCGCAGGCCGTTTTAAAGGCCTGCAAAAGGTCACGTGTTAATGTGTGGGACCCACCTGTTGGCTTACCGGAACTACCGGTTAAGATGGGAGAGATCGAAATTTCTTAGCTGCACGGCACTTCCTTTTTGTCTATTTTTATTTTTTTGAAAGATAAAATATTATTATTTTAATTTATAAAATATATTAACTCCTATTAGGTGTACATTTTTTTTAATAATTTGTCAATGTCCAAATTGTCATCTATCTATGTACAATTCATTATTGATAATTATCCAATTTGAAAATTCAAAATTCTCAGAGTTAAGAATTTTGATGAATTTCTTGATGGCTTCACTTTATACTAAAGATAGATCAATGAGTCCAAATCCATATTACAATACATTGTTGCTTATTGATCAAATATTTGCATGGCCCTTTATTTCACTCTATCTTCATCCTTACTTTCTTATTTTTTTAATCTCAATTATTGCACTAAGGCTTCGTTTGAGACGACTTTTTTATTGCTTCTTAAAGCAGCTTTCTAGCTAGTACAAAATTTTTAATTATTGAACTTAAAACTGCTTCAAGAAGCATTAAGAAAGCAGTCCCAAACGAAGCCTAAGATTTCAATGATTATTAAATTTAGGTTCTAATTTCTTTATTCCGAAGCAAAGAATTCCACAGAGGTAGGTTCGTCCTATTGCATTCAAAATCTTAATGGAATGTGTATTATCCATATGGGAGATCTTCCAATTGAGGAGATCCATCGACCTGAGACGAAGAGAAAGGTCTATCTATCTTCTTTAGTTATTCAATGAAACCAATGATTCGTTATTGGAGCAGATAGCAACAACCATTTCAGCGGACATGCATATTTTTTGATAGATTTACATGGTTTCATTAGTAGAAATTATTTAATGTAGCGAGTAATATGCTCTTTCGCCTTTCAGCTCACAAATTCAACTATAACTATTTGGCCAAATAATGAGCTTCATCATATTAGGATGAAAGATCTTATAAAATATAATACTTATCCATCATTAGCTCTCCACTTATATCGAATGATATCATATTTCATAATTGTAAAGTCCGGATAGGTTGTTAAACCTATGCTAATGTCCCAAGGCTAACCAAGAGATGGGTGAATTTATAATTTTAAACTTATTGGATTTTTAAATGAAAACCAATTTTTTAAATATTTTTGTAAAAACAATTTTTCAACCACAATAATAAAATTGCACAAAATAAAAGTGCAGAAAAAATAAAATGGACAAGCAGATTTATAGTGGTTCGGTCCAACAAGACTTACGTCTACTCTCTGAAGACTCCCTCTTCAGGTATTGCACTATTATCAAAACTTACTCTTCTTTAGCTCCCACAGTAAGGCAGAGAAGCCTTTACAATTTTTCTCTCTTTCACCTATCCCTGGAGCGGCAAAGTACTATCTTCTTTTCAAACTCTCCAAGTGTTGGCAAAGTACCATCATCTGTTCACACCCTCCAAGTGTCGACAGAGTACCATTATCCTTTCATACTCTCAAAGTGTCGGTAGAGTATCATTGTTTGTTCACACCTTTCAAGTGTCGACAGAGTAGCATCATCTATTCATGCCCTCCAAGTGTCGCCAGAGTACCATCATCTATTCATACCCTCCAAGTATTGGCAGAGTATCAGATCTTCTTCAAAGATCTTCTCTCGAGTAACTAGAAAGAGGAAAGGAAGAGTAATAACTAAAAATTAAAAGAGATTCTTACCTTTGAGTAACCTTGTGATTCCTTCACACTCCACCTGCAAGAAATCTATCTCAATCACTCTCCCATAAACACTCTTTTCACTTCTTGAAAAATCACGAAGAACAACTCTTTTCATGTCAGTTTCTATGGACCTTTTATATGAAAGACATGAAAAACCATTCAGAAAGCTAAAATTTTCAATTTTGACCATCCATGATCATACAATACGATTGATGTTTGTCCCGGACGAACAGTTCAAAATTATATGGTATAATCCTATATGAATTATTTTTATATAAGGATAGCGTACAATATGATATGCCTATCGTACCATATGAATAGTTATCAAAAAATCCTCATTCATTTGGATAAAAATGTTCCCAATAATTTTTTACTCTGGTCATCGTCTGTACGAAGTCTAGATCATCTTGGATGAATAGTTTAAAAATTTTACATATTCATCTGTATGAATGTTCCCCACTTTTTTGTACTCTTGACGTCGTTTGTATGAATATCATATCGTCCCAGATGAATAGTTCAAAAATTTTATATGTTTGTCTCGATGAAAATGTTCCCCAAATTTTTTGTACTCTGGATGTTGTTTGGACGAAGCCAACTTCGTATAGTACAGAAGAAATAGTACTTAGAAAAATATTTTGCCCAAGTTTTGATTAACTGCTCACTGGAAGAAATAACTGAATAAATTGTCTCGTACAAACTGAATTCATATAGTATGATTAGTTTAAAATTTTTACAAATTTTAAACACTCCCCTAGTGCGTGTGTGTGTGCACGGTTACTCAATTAAAATCACACTCTCTCAGACTCAATACAAAGAAAATGTATAAACTCTATTTATAATGAAACCTAATCAAATCTAATTTGAAGTCTTCAATAATATGGAGTAAGATTTTCCTGAAATATTAGTACACACAAATAATAAAAATAATATATCCAAATTATGTTAGTAGAAACTGAGAAACTGTAATTAAAATAATAATATTTGGAATCATAAACAATATATATGTTGTAAGAAACTCAATAATCAAAGAACTAAATGACAATAATCTCAACAATCTCTCCATTTTTTATGATGGCAAAAGAATTATTATTTGAGTTAATCTTTATATCCTAAATTTCTCTTTAGCTCCCCTTAAATGAATGAACAATTTTGAATATAGGAAATTTCCATGAAGAGTACAATTTTGTAATTAAAATTTTCATTTTATTTGTTATTTTTTTATTTTTTAAAACACAAAAATATATAAACACATAAAAATAAATAATGAATTTGACTATGATATTCATATGTAGTTCAACTATAAATTTGACCATAATATTCATGATGAAATTTATAATTTTAAATATAAACCTCATTAAGAAATCTTATTTCTACCACTTAAAGTGGTATATCATTTTTTATGGTGTGTTTGATTTTAGTATATATATATATATATATAGTTAATAACAGGTGCAATATGGAGCCTAAGAATGGGAAAGTAGATAGAACAATGTATATTAGATTAGTAATAATGCAACCATAGTCATAGTGATTGTCATGTATCTATTGCGACTCATTACTCATGAGTTTATATATATTTTTGATGATAATAAATACTATGGCTCACATCTTTTTGTTTAATAGTATTTTTCATTATAAACTTGTTTTATGTGAATGCTAATATTTCAGAAAAATCACTCCAGGTTGTTGAAGACTTCAAATCAGAATAAATTAGGGTTTATTGTAAATGGAGTATGTATTTTTCATTATTGAGTCTGAGAGAGTGTGATTGTAATTGAGTAATTGTCAACACACACACTAGAGGAGTGTTTAAAATTTGCAAAAATTTTAAACTGATCGTACTATATGAATTCATTTTGTACTGGATGATCCCAATTTTGTACAAGGATAAACATCTCATGTCAGTTCTCGCATGAATTTTTTTTTCAAAGTATGGATTGTACAGGACGATCCCAATTTCGTATAAGGACGAATGTCTCGGGTCTATTCTCGCATGAAAATTTTTTTCTAAGCATGGATCAAACAGAACGATACCAATTTTGTATAAGGATGAAAGTCTCAGGTCCATTCTAGCTCATTTCGTCCTGACATTTTGTACAAACAAAATTTGAAAATTTTCAAACTATTCATCCCGAATGAACATGGTTCATACAAGACACTTTGCATTCATACGAGCAATTCATACGAGATACTACGTATTCATACGGGGACACTATGCATTCATATGAGTGATTTGTACAAGACACTATATGTTCATACAGGAACACTATGCATTCGTACGGGACACTACTCATTTATACGGGATGATATGCGATCATTCAGTACTATCGTAGGACAATTTTCTTATAATTTTTAAATTTTAGATTATTTTTTATGTCCTTTCTATATAAGGAGTCCTAAAAACTATCACAAAATCCCTTTTTTGTGAATTTCTCTTGAGAGAGGTGATTGAGTGTGAGTGTTTGGGAGAGATTACGAGAGTGAAGTGTGAGAGATCAAGTGAGGGGGTTGTGAGGGATTCACAAGGTTGCTCAAAGCAATGATCTCTTTGACTCCTTTAAGTTTCTGCCCATCTCCTTTGGAAGCTCTTAAGTGAAGTTCTTTAACATCGATCATGGGTTTTCTTCCTTCACAAGGAGGGTGATAAAAGATGTCAGTTCTCTGATGACACTTGAAGGGTGTGAAAGGACGACAGTTCTCTGCCGACACTTGACGGGTGTGAAAGGACGCCGGTTCTCTGCCGACACTTGGAAGGTGTGAAAAGACGACGGTTCTCTTCCGACACTTGGAGGGTGTGAAAGAATGATGATTCTCTGCATCACTAGGGATTGGTGGAAGAGAGGAAAATTGTGAAGGCTTCTCTGCCTTGCTGTGGAGGCAAAAGGTGTGTCACTTTGGTAATAGTGCAATACCTAAAGAGGGAGTCTTCTAGGAGTGGATGTAGGTCGTGTTTGAATAAATCACTATAAAAATTGGTGTTCTTCTATTCTCTTTTCTTTTCTACATTTTTATTTCACGCACTTTAATATTTATTGTTGAAAAATCTTTTATGATAAAATTATAAATCGATTTTCTAAAATTCATCAAGAGTTTTTTAAATTACAAATTCACTCCCCTCTTGGTTAGCCTTGGGACAATAGCTTAGACTTAACAACCTAATCAAGAGTCAATAAGTGATATCAGAGCTTTATTTCAAAATTATAATTTTAGACAACTTTTTGAAAATGATCATGACTT